TATACCCAAGCCTGTATAACATGATAAGATATTAGGAAACGAAGACTGACCCCTACTACAAGGACACTCATTCAGGAAAATGTATTTTTCTTTGATAGTTTTGCCCCGTGGCGCTTCAAGACTCCTTGGATTAATGCGTTGTTACAAGGTCCTTCACGGTTTCAGTTCAAATCCATTTCGTTTTGAAAATAAAAATCCGGCTGATTCGTAGATAGATTTGACAAAATAAATGATAGTTTTGCACTAAATTGATTGAACATGGATGTAGATGAGCGGACCTTCAGCTTCTCTGGAGGGTTGCAAGTATATGCAGTCGTTATTTTGTGTGGTTAATTTTCTCGGTTTTTAAAGTGCACCTAACCCCTGAAAAGTGACATTTATTTCAAAATTAGGGAGGTTTCTTAGAACTTTGGCGAAAGAATGACACGATTTTATTAAAATCCCGATATTTAACAAATTTCTAAGCATGCAAGAAAAGGTACATCGAGCTCTCTGTGGTGGACAAACAATTCTAGAGTATCACGTGACTTGTGACGTCAACCCAGTATCAGATACTACGAAAACCTCGTATAAACACTGTCGGTAGTAGAGTTTTTATCGATTTTTGAGTTAAAATGGCGAATCGATATGTTGTTTACGGTTTTAACAACACACCAACACTGGAAAAAATCGCGCGCTTTAAAGGTTGTAAATTTGATGTAAATATTATGGAAGTGTCCAAAATGATGTAAATTTGARGTAAATTTATATCAAATTTAAGCATCCAATTTTACATCAAATTTACATCATTTTGGACACTTACATAATATTTACATCAAATTTATAACCTTTTAAAGTGAACGATTTTTTCCAGTGCAAATATCAGAGAAGTTATTGTCTTATTGTCCGGGTTGAAGTCACACTCGTTTCCATACTTCTTTCGAGGCTGTCCATCCGAGATCCAACTTTAAAAAACATTTGCCAAATATCAGGGATTGAAAGAAAACGAGTCATTTTTTCGCCAAAGCTCTTAGAAACTTCAATAAATTTAGAAATAAAATGTCATTTTTCAGGGGTTAGATGCACTTTAAAGGTTTTTAATTCTTTTTTAACCTTTTTTTAAATCGTTTCAATGTTGCAAATTCTGTTTGTTAACCTATACGGCATACAATGGTTCGCTACAGCTTATATTTAAACCGAGAAATGTTTCAAAACTGAATGTCACCAAACATTGCTGACCTAACCATCGATACTGAACTACCCATATTAACTTTCGGTCGACAATTTTCCAGACTCAGCTCTAACAAACGATTTTGAATTAGTATCTATTATAAAAATGGGTTACCTGCACTAGCCGTAAAAGCAGCTTTAGCGAGGACTCCTTCATACGATGCTAGAAGAAATGATAAAAATACACAATTTTTCTTTTTAAAGAGTTGAAATAACTCCAAATATAAAGTCATAAAATGGGACGGGGATCTGACTTATTTTTGCCTGGGAAAATGGGATTGGATGCGCGCACTGGGACTGGGATTTTTTGTCTAACGGGAAAGGGAATGGGACGTAAAAAAATCCAAAATAATATATAAAAACATTGGCGTAGCAATTTCCATAAAAATGACTATTAAAATTCATACAGTTTACCGTTAGAAAAAGCCTTCTGTAGTACAAAAACGACATAACTAAACAAGGTTAGCATTTCGTAAACGTTAATTTTTTAATCTCCAAAATTAAATATTTTATTTGTAAGCCTAACACAAAATGACCACTGAAATGATAAAGATCATGTTCAATAAGCTTCTCTTAGCTATAGAAGATGTCAAAAATTCTATTTAATATTACAACTGCGTCCAGATTTTGAAAAATTTTCCGGACTCATTTCACCCCTTTCTGTGAGAAGAGGGCCTTGAAGGGTGATGTCTGATCCCATTTCCCAGTTCGTTTGTTTTTTCAAAATCCCATTCCCAGTTACACCTACTTGCGAAAACGTTGTCATAGAAAATAGGACATTTGTATTTAGTCAAAAAGGAATAAATTAAAAAAGACAAAAGAAGATCACTGAGGCTGAACGCTTTCTTTTGTCTTGTTTTAATTTATTCCTTTTTACTAAATTCAAATGTTCTATTTTCTATGACAACGTTTCTGCAAGTAGGTGTACATATTTTTGAAAAATCGCACACTCATTGAAAATGCTAATAAAGGGCGGCAAGGGATGTACTAATATACCTCCAAGTGATACACCAACTGAAAGTTCGTTTTGGTAGCTTTGGGTATCCTTCACGATGCTGTTACTTTTCTCTTTGACACAAGCACTTCGGGGAGTATAGGMAATTTCATCGTATAAGTCAAATCCACGCTGAATTGTTTTTTTATCTCCTTTGGTGAAATGCAAGATTCTTCTGGAAGGATGAAGGCCTGGGTCAGCACCTGCATTATCTGAACGACGATTGTCCGGATTTCCTTTAATAAGATCGTAGCCACCACCGAGAAATTTGATACCAGGAGGGTACGTTTTATCTTCGTCATTTTCCAAAGATGTGTCATATCCCAGCGTCAATGACTTGTTGAAAGGAGAGGCAATGACATGGGAAGCGCACGATATGACAAGGAGTGCCACGAAGTACATGACTGGTGTGTGAAAATGCTATAATAAAGAATATACACCTAAGGGACGGTCCATTTAACTTTTTGAGGGGGGGGGGGGGGGGGGTTGGGTGATTTCTTGTGAGCAAGATTTTTTTTCCTTCGTGGTGTGTAGGATTTTTTTCTACTTGTATGTAACATTTTTTTGGGGCTTAGGGTGGTGCAAGATTTTTTTTTAGGTCCATATGTTGTGCACGATTTTTACTTTTGGTGAAGAAAAAGTTAAATGGACCGTCCCTAATTGCACAAACGTTGTCCAAGAAAAAAGAACTTTTACTGTTTAGGAATTAATTAAAAAAACAAAAGAAAGTGTTCGGCTGCAGTGGTCATGCTTTGTCTTTTAATGTATTTTTAATTTCCTAAGTGCTTAAGTAATGGCCCGAGTAAGAACTATAGAAGCAAACGGCAAAAGAATGTCGTTTGCGCATTGTATAATCCATCCATCCCATTGGTTTAAACAAGAAAATCTACTATAATTTTACAAGTTAGCGAATTTTCTAACATTTTATTTAATATCTGATTCCGACTTCATGAAAGCTTTCTTTCGCTACACTATTAAGGCAATTCTATGTGGGGAACATAGCAAATTAGAAGCTTCTTTTGGCTATTGTTTTGAGTGCTTATGATTGGATAAGAGGTTTTAATACAAAAGAAACTCTGTTTCAAAATAGAGTTTATCCACATTTTATTTCAAAAATGCGTTACCCATAGGTTGATATATAATCAGTGTGAAAACCAAGACATTTGTATGTGGGGAAGTTGCAATGCCGCAGAACAATAGAGAGTTCTAAAGTTCTTACGTGCATTGTTACTTAAATCACAGGACAACGTTTTCGTAATTAGGTGTATTAATAGATCGATATTAAACCATTACTCTCTCATGATTAACTGCCAATAGTTAAACTTATTATATGCTAAAAACTTGTTAGGCAAACACGATTTTGATTTTGCTCTTTGGTAGACTACTACACTCTAATAGTTACTATTAAACACTGACTAGTAGTAACTGTTTCACAGACAAATGATAATGATTCTTATACACCTTAGATGCTCTAATTACTTTGTTTTCTTTTGTGTTTGTTTGACTATGATAACACTTAATAACATTTTTTTTACTTGTTTAATGTTTTCACTTTTGTATTTTCACACTCCTAGTGTTTTCGCTCAAATAGCATGATTAGCAACAATTTTGAACTATTAACACTCTCATGTATAAGCTGCATGTGTGATATAATAATATCATTTCTTACTATTATAAGAAAAATCACTGAAAATATTATTTGATTTTCAATTACAAAGGCCCTAAAGGAATACCCCTCCATACACCCTCACCAGGGAGTCCAACCCTAATACTCCAGTTTCGAATTCTCCAATGCTCTGTGTTAGCCTCATTTGTGTGCAAAATATTTCTTATTGTGAGCGTAAAAGTGTGAGATTTCAAATCAAATTTATTGTCTTTCTTCACAAATTCCATGCGTTTTTTTTCAGCTATCAATGAAACAAAAGAATATGTTACTTGGTTTTGAGTCTAACACAGAGCAAACCAGAACTCGAAATTGGAGTATTCCCTTACCTCTAGTAATGCCGTCCTGAATAGTACTATTATCAAATAAAGATAGCTCTCTCGGTGACTTAATTTTGAAAGCGTTTTGCGATGTCGTTTTCCGTTGACATGGATCAGTGGTACAAGTGGTTTTTATTGCAAATCACGCTGTGATTGGCTCGGAGATTCGAGGTATGGGGTACTTGTACTAGTATAGTTGTAAATTGTACGAAGCTATCGGCTTATATTGTCCAGCATCCTGGGTGGCCGAGTTTTCTTAATAGGGAATCAAGATTTATTATATCCGGTTATTCGGGAGAATGAAATGTCACTCCATATTCCGTTAAAACAGACGTGTTTAATTTGCTTTTATAGTTAACGTCCATAATATATTCATTTTTAGCTGGTATCTATTGCTGGTGAAACGCCTATGTTGACACACCCACCTTCGTAAGACTGCTGAAGACTGGCGTAAGACTGTGTTTACCCATGTAATATACTTGAAGATTTTAAGACAGTTTTAATGAACAAAATTTATTATTATTTGTCTTTGATAAATCCATGAATTTGTCACAAAGTGAGCTTCTACTGCACCTTGATCCGTGGAACGGTGAAATTTGAACCATGCTATATAGGTGATGTTTACAACGAGAATAGCAAATAAAAAAAGGGAAGAAAAAAACGCCGACAAGTGTTTTTTCTAATATTATTTATATTTTTATATTTATATTATTTATATCACTGACTAAAAGAGTGAATTATAGATTGCGTGCCATGATGATATTTTACATGTGACAAACCCTAATTTAACCTGCTAGGTAAATAAAAAAAAACTAGCCAACCTAAATAGATTCCTTTGTAAATTTGCTAAATATAACAATATTTATAAAATACAAATCTATTTTTTAGTAAAATAGTTTAATATAATTTTAATGTGCTTTTTAAACAAGTTTTTCTCAATATAATTATAATTTCAAAGCTTCATTGACAAAAAAACAAGCTAATTACATAATAATAGCAACAAAGTAAGAAGAATGATGATGATGATAATAAAATCCGCGACTTAAAATATACATTTGAAATTAAATCATAGGGTGATACAATATATAGAGGATATTACATGGGCGCGCGGAGATACGGGTTTTATCTTCGAGTGTTGAAAAGATCTCTCACGAGTGAGCGTAGCGAATATCATAGTTATTTCTCAAGAAAATTTATATTTTTTATTCAAAAAATAGTATTATTATTATAGAATTTAATTTAATATTTTTTTTCTTTTATATGCTAACATAATAGCCGACTTGAGAATTTTTCCTCAGTCTCATACAAAGGAATCAAGACGGGCGCCGTGCATACAGATCAGCCATTCGTGAAAAGACAATAGTTTTTCACAGCTTTACGCGCGGTGCCTCGTCTTGATTCTTTTGTGTTTGACTACTGAGGCGAAATTCACAAATCGGCTATTCACATACCTGTATTTTTGAACACTTGAATGGGGAATGGCGACTCTAATCACCCCCTCGCCGTCGCCCATTAGATTCGCACTTGTGTTTTTTGGTCAACTTTACGAATAGTACAGCGAATTTCATGCTGGTCGGTCGGACTGGACCTGTCAGTCAAATGCCTTGAAGCCCTATTATTGTAAGACAAAGACTGCTCTGATATTTACATATACGGGAACTAATTTTGGTGTTTTGGGGGAAAAAATCATGTTCTAAAGCAAGAAGATTGAGAAAATACCGGTACCATTGTATACAATGCGTACTTTGACCTCTGTGGTTTTAGCGCATGTCAGGCGCGTAGCGTCCTTTACACATATACGCACGTGCGTACTAGTGGTAGGGAAATATTACAATTTTCGGGATTTGATGCCTTTTATATGCTCTCAATGCCACTCAAAACGCTGGAAATCGCATTTCCAAGAGTTACGATTTCAAAATTTCCTGAGGGAGTACCCCCATACCCCCCTTAACACTCCCTTAGCCCTTAATCGAAAATATGTGTCGCGACCCCTAATGATCTTGCGTAGCAATATGCAAATCATATCAAGGACACGCAGTTTCCGAGAATTACAAAGGTGAGCAGTCATACGTCATTTCTAGGAAATTCCTCATGCTTGCATCTCAAACAAAAGAAATTCTTCTATAATTCATAAGGTCATACGATGTCCTTTACAATATAGCACGATTCAAACGACTAAACACTCATAAAGCTATTGTCCTGTGTGACCGAAAAGGTACTTGGGAAGACAAACAATTTGGCTAATTTCATAACAAACAGCTCTCCTGCATAAAAGACTATCATGCTGTTAATCTTACTAGCTCTACTTGCTTAGTGTACACCGTATATGCAAATGTGATCCCAATTCAAAATCCCTTTCGGTCTTAGCTTCTATGATGTGACCTTTTCGAACACGACTACGTTTTTTCAATTAGGTGTATACAAAATATACCAAAAATTGTGGGATCCCTATATCATCCCCAATATTGTTTTAGAAAGTACTAGTGCTAGACAACTACAAAAAAATATTTTAATTCCTATACATATTCCTCACTCGGGGTTTTAGTTACTCAGCTGTAACGGTATCACGTAATCTAATTGAACCATGCTCAATAACAAAGTGAAAAGTGTCAATCATATAATATTAGACCATAATAGTTAGCAAGCTCTGCCTAATCCAAGTTAGACTGCAGTTTTTGTCTGGTTCTACCAAACTAGAACGATGTAAGTAGTATTATTATCGATGTTCTCGTTTATTTACAGTAGTTGGTGTAAGTCCATAGTATAAGTGTGTTTATAGAGTGAAAACACTAGACGGTCACACTAAATACTGCTAAATTTTCGAATTCAAAGCGAATAGCCACTGCTTTCAGCTTGACAGTAAATTAACTCAAAAGAAACCACGAGAAAATGCTTTAATTTCAATAGCCCTCCAATTTTCCCCGAGTTGAGGCTAACCCTGTGTTCCTAGACGGCTTAAAGCTTACTCTTATAGGAATACAGAGTTCGTCTCAACTCGGAGAAAATGCAAATTTTCAACATTTTCTCGTTTGGTAAGGTCTTCGCGCAAGAGAATCTGTTGTCAAATAGAGCAGCGGTTCTTCGCTTTGAATTCGAAAATGGAGTATCGTGGATTCACATAGTATTGGTAATCTATTTGTTCAACTATTGCTCGGCTATATGTTGACATTCAAAAATAGAAGTTCTGTATATATTTTTAATTCGGGGTCTGAAGGTGAATTTTTACTTGCCAATTATTCTGTATTCGTGTTTTATTTTCCCCCATTATTCATTGTATATATTTTTGCTATTATTCATTATTCCTTATGATATTTTTGATTTTTTTGATTTTTGATTTTTGATTTCATTATTCATCAATTTTGAACCGCGTTATTCATTATTCAATACTCACCCTCAGACCCCGATTTTAATGTTTGTATAAATATGTGTTTAACCCTTTCACCGCCATTGTGACGTCGACGTATGCCTCTCTTTAAAAAAATATTATTCTATTAATTGCATAGCAAATGAACTAATTATGTTTTGGTTGGGTTGTCCGTGAAATTATACAGCTGCTAATTCATAAAGTAAGCACCATAGGGTTTCTTTGTGGTGAATGTGGTCCCTTAATTGAGGGCGAAATCTGGCTGCACGCTTTTCGACGTTAGACAAGAACACTAGAAAAAGGCTAAATATATTTTCAATTTTACTGCAAAAAATCCCTCAATCATGCCAAAATACAACATTTGAAAGAAAGTTCAGCCCTTCTACTTTGCATTGATGTGTCTTTTGTAACCAGTTTCATTGAACAAGCCGAGAAAGAGCTCTTTCTTTAGGGTTCATTCCATGAGACAAGTGTTTCCTTGAACTTCGCTTGCAAAGAATTCTGGGTAACGGTGAATTTTTTGGACAGAAAGTACCCCACACCTTCCATTTTAAAATTTTCTTTAAGTGTCGAGTCATTCGCTCCTACCAGGAAAATTTCAAGTAGATTCCTCTTTTTAGAAGCCAAAACATGCAAAAATATACACGGTAGGTTGCGAAGTCAAGCACAAGACAGCCAGGGAGACGACTTCACT